GGGGGCAGATGGCAGGAAGGAGGACGAGACAGAGAGAAACACAGGGGACAAGTTGTAGACAGGAAGGACAAGAGCCTCTCTGGTAAAGGAAAAAGAGGAGAGAAGAGTGAAAGGCATTAAACAGACAGGAGGGACAGAGGCATAAAGAACTGAGTGAAACAAGAAAAACAGAGAAAGAGAAACTGAGACAATGTGCGAGAGAGAGGGAATCAGCTGTAGGGATGGGAAACGAAAGGAGAAGGGTGGAGAATGATCTGTGCAGTGCAGAGCCCATTTACATTCCAGCACGGAGAAAAAAACAACTATTAATGTTATGTATATGATTTATGTATTATTTTCTTTTCTCCTGCTGGCAAAACATCTGATGTAACTGAATTAATTCGTCACTGTCCTGTTAGCTGGTTTCTTTATAGGTTCTAATTACAATTCGTTGTTTACCGCTGCCGCGCTCTGCGGCACCGCGGCTCATCGGTCACGCCCGCAGAGCGCGCGGCGAGCTCGACTCGGGCGGGGGCGGGGGGGGGAGAGGGCAGCCCACCTTCATGACGGGCTGGGCGAAGTACTTGGCGCTCCAGTCGCACAGGCCGGTCTGCAGGGCGGCGCTGATGAGGTTCCGGTGGCCCCCCGGCTCGTCGGCGTCATCGGCCGTCTGCAACCCGTGCACACACACACACACGAACACACACACACGCACAGACAGACACAGAGCACCGGGGGTTAGTGCAGCACAGCAACGGGCCCCGGAGAGGACACAAACTCACAATCAACGCAGCTGTCGGCTGACTGCGTCTGGCCTACAGTGGGCAGACACACGCCTGGGCTACAGCATCTGACCGCTAACACGGCTTTCACACAGTGCTTCCCGGGGGAATGGAGGGGCAGCGCGCGCTCGGCGGGAGGGCGGGCGGGCGCACGGGGGCAGGGCGATACCTGGTCCGGCCCCTTGTCGAACATCTTGCGCGTGCGCGGGAACTGGTGCGAGTGCGGCGCCTGGCCGCCCAGCGTGGGGGTGTACGGCGGCCGGGCGGGTGGCAGGTCCCTGGCGGGCGGCTTGGGCACCTCGTTGGTCAGGCTGGAGCTGCTGGTGCTGGGCATGGGCGGGGAGCCACTGGGAAGAGCGAAGAGAGAAGGGGGCAAAGGGTAACAACGAGGCCTCGGGCACACAGCTCTGCATATCTCACTGGGCACGTGTGTGATGTCCCATTCAGCCACACTGTAACTCCAACCACCCCTCGCCTCCCTGCAGCAGCACTGGTGTTGGAGAGAAGGTATCGAACCCCTGCAGAGGTGGGGGGGCAGGTTGGCTTACCCGGCCTGGTGAATATGGGCACCTTTGCTGGTGGGGCTGGCGGGGGCAGACTGGGTGAGGGACCCCGAGTCCAGGATCCTCTGGGGGCGAGCGTTCACTGTGGCCTGAGGAGAACACAGACAGAGAGGGGGAGGCACGTTGAGCGGAGAGCCCGGGACAGGCAGGGAGCGGGAGAAACTCGATTCTCTGGAGGGCTGGGCCTGGTCTGGATCCACGCCAGGGCTGGCGGTCTCAACCTGCTGCACACAGCCTGACAAGACGGGCACAGACCGGGGAGGGGGGTTACGATTTTTTGCAGCATTTAAGGAACTGGACGGTAACAAAAGGGAGAGAGAACTGCAGTTTTCCCCAACAGAAAAATTATCCATATTGCCTAGAAGGAAGAGTGGGGGACAGTCTTTTTGTGATGGTGATATTCTGGAGAGACGCACGTTTGACTTTTAAGTTCCCTGCTGAGATGTGACCATGATTCCTGTGTTCCAGCACAGAGCCGTGATAATCTCACAATTATTTGCACTCATCTCATCTGCACTACTACTAGCACTGGAAAGATTTTCTTATTCGGGTGTTTCATGTTGAGTCAGAATATCTGACTACAGATGGTCTGACTGTGATTTTGGTCCCCTGGACATTGGACAACATATTTTTGAATGTACATTCGGCATCCAAAAACTGCAAGATGTACCCATTTCACCACAGCTTCCAGTAACAATGGGTGGACTGTCACTGTCTCTCACTAATTTGTGGTCTAATTATTTTGCTGAGAGAGGTCAGTAGGAAGAGGATGAGGAGTAAGGAAGTTACAGGCAGCAGCACCCTCATATACTAATAAAGATGCAGTCAGGAAGTAAAACAGCTTCTAACTACCAAACAGGCAACATGGGACAAAGGCCTTCTTTGCATTTGTAATCGTTCTTATGTTCGTATGACAGAAAAAAAACCCAGCACATCTGCAGGGGTTTGAGAAAATAAACAAGTGGAGGAATGAAGCAGTGTGGTTTGCTCCGTCCCACGAAGCCGAGGACTCGGCGCCCGTAGGCGGGTGGGGGCGGGTGCTGCTCTTGCTGTAGGTGTCACCTCTGCAGCTCCGGCACCAACAGCCTGTTTTCAGATTCACGACAGCCCGAGGGCTCTGCACCTCGCCGAGCACCCAGAACCACAGGAAAGTCAGGGGGGTGTCACATATCGTGCAAATGCTGAGCAGTGCTCGTCCCACAACTTTCCACACTTTGGAACAGAGCAGATGGGCACAAAAACCGAGAACAACTCTCTTTTTAAACAACTCATGCAAACTTGTTGACTCTGTTGAAGAAAAAACATAATATCACCTGCCCTGCAGGAAAAACAAATCATTTTTCAATAAGACAACAGTACATTACAAATATTTGACTAAAAATTGTTCTTTTTGCGGAGGTGAGCTTGAAAGTCTTTTGTTTGCATCCCTCGAACTGCGGGTTTCTACTCTTGACAGCATCCAAAACATTAAGAGCTCATGCTGCATTGCATCTGATTCGTTTTGTGATTCACCGAAGGGATCGATCACGCTGAATCACGGCAGCGCTAATGGACAGAGGGGCGCTAGGAGCTGAACCCCAACAGCGTCTCCAGTACCCCTAAGGCGAATGGATGCTGTCTCTTCAGGGGGCTGGGAAAGCAGAGAAAAGAAGTTAATAAAGAGGTAAATGCAATCCGATATCATGCAAACAGCCATTAAAACATAAATGCATGCCAATACTAAAAGACAGACACCCCCCCAGAAAAAAAAAGTCTTTCATCTATTTCTGAAACCTGCCTGAATCTTTTTTCCTCCACCCTCGTTCTCGCCCCTTAGTAACGAATTCCTCCGCGCAAACGAAAAACTTCTTTCCTTTCAAGACAACAGACATAGGCATGAAAATAAAAGTTATCTTCTTTTTTAGAAACCAGCCCAACGCTCCATCACTTGTGGAAGGGTGCTCATTTATTTGCGCCACGTGGGCTCGCCAGCCAGCGCCCCTTGGACCAGCGCCTTCGCAGAGGAGCGCCGCCGCCTCGCCTCCACGCTCACCTTGGACGCCACCGACGTCCCGACACGCCACAGAAGCGCGTGACCGGGGCCATCCTCAACCTCAGGCTCCCTGCAGACTTCCTGCTTTGCATTCACTACTCCACACCGCGCGCTGCTAAAGACATCTGAAACCATCAAAGTTCGTCTCCCTGCTCGTCGGCAGAGCGTGCAGCATCCCCGGGCAGAGAAACGAGAGACAATTACTGCTGCTGCAGATTTAAACCAGGCCATTAAAAAGGAATGTTTGTGGCATCTCCTAACAGCGAGATTAAGTTATTTCTTGATGTGCTGCCTAATATCTAATGAAAGGGTGGATGCAGTCGGGGGGAATGTATGTGACAGTTGCCTTGTAGCTCGTAAATGATGCCAAGCTAAAGACCCACTCCACTGTGGCGAGCCAGAGTCTCTCTCCCTTTATTTATCACCCCTGCCCACCCCCCTCTCCAAGGTGGCATGATTTACACCATTTCTTAACGATGCTTCAGAGGAGCATTTCTCCATCTCTTCATTTATGTAGGGTAGTAAAACAAATGTGCTTTCAACCTCGCCCAGAGGCTGATCAGCACGAGGGCTTAAGCGACCTCCCAGGCTTGTGAGCAGGCAGAGCAAGAGCACAGGTGTGCACGGCTCACAGCAGAACGCTAGTGTCTGGATGTTCAAAGCAGTCCGCCTCAAGCCCACTGCTCAAAACCTGATGAAATCCTGGATCCCTGCTTCTGTGGAAGGTTCTGTCAAGCAGAGTGAATCGTTTTCTTTTTTACACCGTTTAACAGGTGAAATAAGAACACAGGCATGGACAGCTTGTTCCAGACCCCCACCACCCTTTGCGTAAAGAAGTGCGTCCTGCTCCCATTTCTAAATGCACCCTCTTTCACCCCGTGCCCTGCCATGCTTCAGTTGCTCTTTCGGAAGAAGTCTGTTAGTTCGTCTCCGTCATCCTTGGGGATTTTGAATATTTGTATCAGGTCATCTTGTTACACAGTGGCTGGTGACCTTCCAGGCCCTGGCAGGCAGCCCAGACTTCTTAGGAAAGTGATCATGGCTGCTCAACGCACCGGAAACATCCTTTCCGAGCACCCCGCCAACCCCCCGCGGTTCTGGGTTCGATATGTCCATTGACCAGGGCAGAGAGAGCGAGAGGTCGAGGAGGGAGAAAAAGTAGAAAGAAGAAGAGAGCGAACGGCGATCACAAGAGGCAGCAGATCCGCAGTGGAAACTGCTGGGAGCGCAGGTCGGCACTGGCAGCGAAGCACGGGACAGAATGCCTTGCTCGCGGCCAAGTCAAAGCCTGATTTATCCCGCGACTATTAAGATAGTCAACTAAGAAACAGAATCTGTCTTCCTAACCATCTACCCATCTGTCGGAACTTTACCAGACAAACTCACAAAACATTTTCTTTCTCCCCTGTCAAAGATGACTAAACGCTTCTCAGCAAGGGGACATTAACCATGTTCTTACGCCGAATGCAGTGACGCCAAACCAAGGCAGAACAAAGCCCCACGGCTCAGGCGGCAGCCAAAGGGTTCTGCTTTTGGCTGAGAGCAGATCTCGTTCCTCACTCGCACATTGACAATAACGACAGCTTCCTGACTCAGCCTTCCTGGATGCATGAAAAGAAATTATTTTCCCAATAAGAGCTATATAACAAAGCCCATTGAAAAGGTACTGAATTAAAAGAAGCCTTTATTGATGCCGGGATCAGAAAGTAATTAGTTTTCTTTTTTTTTGGCTATGACCTAGTATCATTATGCCTTTCCGTATGACCACTGAAAGCCTGGGTGGGGCGAAGTGCTCTAATACAGGCGCTTTTTGAGCGCTGTTAATTAAGGCTGCCTCTTCAGTGCACTGTTGACACCAGCTTTTATCACATAAGAGTCTTGTGTCTCGAATGCAGTGCGACGCCGAAAGGACAGCGCGGCGCTGACGGGGGGAGAAAAAAAACACGCTCTTGTCAAGAGACCCAGTTCTACTTCTCGTAAAGGGCACCCTTATTAAAAGATCACTCCATCTTGAAAAAGCCTCGGCCTAGATACCAAGATTGACTTCATCTTTTCAAAAGCCCCCCCCCATCTGCAAATACGCCTCCATTCTTACGCCTCCTCTCTCGTCGGAGTCTGAGCTGTCTTCTCCATGCCCTCGCTATCTGAAGAGGAGCCCCGTGTTCAAAGATGGGGGGCGCTGCTCCCCTGCACCCCCCTTTCTTCTGGAGGGAAAACTGCGGCGTGAAGGAAGCCGAGTGAGTGAGGTGAGGCGAGCTGAATTCTAACAAGAGGCTTCCCTCGTGCTGCCCAGTCTGCACACGCTCGGTTTCCTCCCTGCTCCCAGCTGACTCTCCTCCAGGGAGAGAGGAAGAATTCACAGCCCGTCCCATGTTGAGGGGGGGGGGGAGGGTGTGAACCCCTTCAGGAGCTCTCAGGCAGGCAGTGTGTCAGAAGCACAGAGAGCACCCCGAGCAGGGCAGGATGGAGAACAAACACGCGCAGGATAAGCAACGCGGATGAGGAGGCAATAGGTTACACAGAAGAGCCGTTAGCTCGGAAAAGAGTTTTTTTTTTTACCGAAAAAGAATTCAAATTGCACACTCCTAATTGCACACAAAGACTGAAGCAGTGTATTTTGGTGTGCAGCTTGTTTCACTGCAATGCAGTAGAAAGAGGGGCCTCTGCTTCACTGCTGATAAACCTAGATTGTTGTCGACTCCGGCGCAAATCTTTCACGTTGTCGTTAACATTGAAGCCTACTCAGTGCAGAAAAAAAATCAGTTTTTGCTCTGGCCCACGTGACTGCAGTATCTGCCAGCTTCCACACCAGCTCGGTTACTTCATCGACCTTTTAATCGAATTCATAATTGGCTTAATTGGAATTTTTAATTTTTAACTGCTGGAAAAGAAACGGCAGATTTCAAGTTGCTTGCAAAAATCTCTCACAGCTTAAGAGCTGGAGACATTCAAAGAATTTCAATTTCTCACGCCGTTTGTTCAGCTGAAGGTTCAATTATGTAACCGAGGGCCAGGCTGGAAAGAAATCCAGCAGAGGCACTGGAGTCACGAGGAGCAGGATTTGCTGGCTAAAAATCTTTTTGCACATCTCCTGCTGGTGTGCCTCCTGCCTTTCTCCAACCGCCCGTGTTAAGATCCGGCGCACAAGGCGAGGTGGGCGGCGGGGCGTGCGCAAGCGGCACGTTGTGGACACCGAGTCACTCGCAACTCCAGGCTTCTGGGACGGACAAGCTACAGGGAAACTGGACAGGCCTTGGCAACTGGCGGAGCACCTCGGCACACGGGCACGGCTCACACCTGCTAACTCGCCAGGCCACAGGCACAGACGCAGCAGGGGCAGTGAGGTACAAAAGGGAACGGTAAAAAAAAAAAAAAAAGATCTGTAGCCACAGGGGACTCGGGGAAACCGCTGTGACAACAAGAGAGATGAGACGAGACTTATATAATCTTTAGTTATTACCTCCTTAAGCTGCACTGGAAGTTCATGGCCATCTTTCAGTGTTTCTCAGACTTCAGGGAACAATTTCGATTTAATCGTATTTGCACAAAACTAAATGCTTTGGGTCACGTGAGGGAAGAGCTGGGGGAGCCGGCCTGCTCCGCAGCACACGGGGGAGGGGGAGGAGGTATCAAATCAAACGCCTGCAAGAGGAATTAACCCTTTCCTCAGCAGGAGGAAACACACACATGGGGGAATCGGCCGGGGAGAGATAAGTGCATCTGTCCACTCACTGCACACACAAATGAGGAAGGACAGGGGAACAGAAGGGGGGGGGGGGCAGGGACAAGCAGGCAAGGAAAGAGGGAATGAGTGGTGGGGAGAGAGGAAGAGAAGGAGCAAAGAGAGAGAAGCACGGCCCTACTGGCAGTGAAGGAGGATCTCACCTTGTAGGCGATGCTGTTGAGGACCTTCATGGCCAGGTCGGACACCTCAGGGAAGGGATCAGCAGCCAGGTGAAGCAGCACCCTCCAGATCTGCGTGTAGACGCTGTTGAAGGACACCCCTGCACAACACACAGACACAGAGACAAGACACTGAGCCGGAGCTCCATTCAGGGCTTGAAATGTTGGGAACGGATCCCAAGCCACCCCTTTGACGAGGAAAAAATAAACAAATTGAAGAACAGCGTGTAAGAACAGCAAGGACGAGCTGCTTCTGGGTTTTATACTCTGCTTCTGCTTTCTGCCAGTGTCACACTCTCCCCAAGCTGGACCGTGACAGGAGCGAAGGCAAATCACTGAAGTGAGCTGAACACTATCAGCAAACTAATGTCTAGTGTAAGGAGAGGAGGCGGCAGACCCAGGGGAAGAGCCATGTGGCGAGAGTATTTATCTCCTGATCATCAAGCATGTGTAGCACAACAGCAATGACAGCTCTCCATCAGTCACTCGCATCTAAGCGGTATTCGGCAGCACCCTAATCTTGGCTCTACCATTATGGGCAAGATCTATTAGAGAACCGACATTGTATTATTACTGATCTCTCACTGCATACGGAGCTTGCACACATGCTGACAGGCGTGACTGCAGAACAGTGATGGAGTCCTGCGAGGCTGGTGTCAGGGGTGGGGGGTATGGGGGGGCTAGCACTGAAGGATTGAGAAGTGCTGCTTTTGCAGATTTTGCCACATCGTCTTTTTAGAGGGTTTAGCGAAATCTCTCACTGCAGCTCAGCGCACGGCGAGGTGGAGGAGCACGGCTCATAACTGAACACCCCAGGGACGACCCAAGGCTAGCGGAAGAACCGGCAACGCGAGCACTTAAAAGTTCAAGGTTCTCCGCAAGGTCTCAGAGAACCTGCATGGAGCAACTGATCCGAGACCTAGACGTTAAAGTTCTCAGGAGGGACACAAACCGGAAACTACTCTGGCGCTCGAGAAGAGGGGCTGCCCCAGACGGTTTTAATCTCCTCAAACCTGAAACGGCAGGGACTTTACAAACGTCGATCAGCTGGTTTATTTTCAGCCATTCCGCTCGTGCTACCGCGGAACATTTTCCACACGGAACACGCAGAGAAAAAGGCGCACATGAGCGGAAAAGACCGCTGGGCTTCACAAAACGGCCAGCCTTTGGACTGGGCCGCCCATGAGCAAGACACACTCACACACGCTGCCGGGATCAGCCAGAGAGTCAGACTGACAGGGCCGTACCGAAGATCCGAGACAAGGAGGAGGGGATGGGGCTGCCCCTGCCCAGCTTGTGCCCGGATGTTCCGAGGGCTAATCCGGAGCAGAGGAGGGAACTGTGCCTCTGGCGGGCAGGGCCGACTCTCCAGAAGCTGCTGATTGGCAGCCGGAGAGCGTGCAGGGGGCTGTGTACGGACTGGAGGGGTCCACAGGGGGAGAGAATCGCTGAGACAGGGCAGAGAGCGCCGGGAGCGGGGGAGCCAGGGAGCGCTGGTGTCCCGACACCGGAGCTGGTTGACCCCCGGGGGCACCACCAGCCACCCTTCCCATGGGAGTGCTTTTCTGTTTTTCCAAGGAGACATTTCTCCGTGGGGCACAAGGGGCAGAGGGGGCAGGAGCCTTCTCAAGGGGTCCTGTATCAGTCTACGACGTGCAACTTCACAACCCGAAGGGGCCGGCCACTCCCCAACTTCCTAAACAGGCATTTCGCACAGATCCCCCCCCCCAAACACAAATAGAAGGAGTATTCATTAATCTTGAGAAACATGGTTTCAAAACGTTATAAGAAATGACTGGGTGCGAAACTGCTGAGGAGGTAAACCTCTCGTTATACTTTCTTCTCACCTGGTTCTTTTCACCTTGAAAAAGAGGGAAACAGAAGTAGCACTTTTTTTCCCCTGTCAGTTTAAGACCCTTTGCTATCAGGTGCACTGACATGTTCAGACAGTCCTAAGGAAAAGAAAAGCACACCTGCCAGACATAGCAGAACGTCATCCCCTCGCCTGTTAGAAACTGGGGACATGTAACCCCACCCCAGCTGTAGTCAGGGCAGGGGGGGGGATACACTCCTCAGTGGAAAAAACAGCCAGGCCCAGACACTGCAGTGCTCGCAGCCTGAGAAAGGCATCCCTGACAGCTCACGCTGCAAAGGGCGTGGTAATCCCATGTAAAAGCTGCACCAAGCATGCTGACAGCCACTGATCCCACAGCGGACACAGCGGTCACTCTGGCACACTAAGAAGCTGCAATCGCGCACTGGGAATGCATTTTGGGATTGCATGGGAGATGCCGATTAATTTGGACTCCTGGTTCTGAGGTGGGACATGTATATATCTCACTTATCCAGCATCAAAGTATCACCACTTAAGCACATTGTGAGAGCTGTTGATGGGGTCTGTTAACTTAGCCTCAAGCAAAAGTTACACTAAGGTGCCATAAAGCTGACTTGCTTTAGCAGACCCAGTGGCTTAACGCTACATAATAAATGACAGGAATGACACCCACAAACAGGATAAACCAGACCAATGTCTGCTGAATATCAGAGGACAGAACCTAGAGCAAGACAAGAAGTAATTACATATCAAAGAACAGGACAAGCACTCAGATTGTGAAACAAACTTTCTTCTGACTGTATATAAGAGCTGGGAAACCCTTGCAGGTTGTCTGTTCTGCGGGGCAGAACCAACATGCGTTGATGTCATTATTGAGCTCAATAAAACTGAATCTGCACAAGACTGTGTCCTGCTCCTCCGATGAAGAAGTTCCATCGACGGACAGAGGAGCTGTGGACTGTCCTATTGATCGGCATTCTGCAATGACCCTTAGCCCCAGCTGGTACAGCAATTTACGTACAGTCAGACATTGGTCAAGCCATGTGAAGGTCATCTAGAAACAACGTGATCATTATTTTAGGAGAACCCACAGAAGATGATATGCCCAAAAAACCTCTGGATGTAAGTGTTATTACACACATGTACATGCCAGGTCAGCAATGGAATTTGGTACACCTAGGTCACACTGCAGTTGTTTGAATAGGCCAACTAGCTGTATTGTACACCCGGTATTTACAGTCAGAACTGACCATCTGTATTAGGTATGATTTCTAAATGCATATCGGCAACTACTGGATGTAGAAATATGAGGATTCATTGTGTTTACGCTCATTTTTATAACCTAGTTGATTTAAAAAAAATCAGAAAACAGGCAAACGGCCAGGATGTTATTTACTATAAATCAGAGGGATATACCAGGTTTATAAAGATCTCAGATTACAAAGCAATGTTCTTTTGCTCTGCATTACAAAAGCTTTTTTACATAAGTTAGAATCCGACCAATGCTGAGGATACAGGACAGCTTGCGACAGATACTTCACCTTCGGCACTAGTAAAGCCGAACTTCAGGGGGCAATGTCAGCTGAGGCTGTGAGCCGAGGCCCATCACTGCAGAGGGGCTCCGCGCTGGATATCGTTCATTAGCAGAGGAAGACTTGGTACACAGTGCACTGACAGAGAGCCGGAGCGTTAAGTGACAGAGGGCACTGAAGATTACGGCAATCCATAGACTCCTTGATTATCAAGGATTACGCCAACATCACGTAACAGTAGCTAAGAGGGTTGCCGGGCCTCATTCTGACAGAATCCCTGTCCTGATTCCTGTGTGTTAGAAATGCAGTGCTTTTAAAGCTTTAAAGTAATGCACCACTTCTTCTGCACTGACCAGCCATGCATATGTGCTGTGTGCTGAGTGGAGACCTCGCTGTGGCGTACTTTTACTATCTACAGCTCCTGGGACAACCACTTCCAAAGCCCTAGCCCTAACAGAGCACACCTGCGTCCCCTAGCAGAGCAGGCAGGGAGCTTACTGCCTGCAAGCCAGTGTTGAAAGCAGTATCAAACACAGAATCCAATGCCAGATTCAGGAAATTGAATTACTCTTCCAAAGACAAGAGAGAACAACAAAAGAGATGTACTGTGCTGGACTGCTATGTGTCTTGGGGCCAAGTTTACAAAGCGGTACTACAGCAAGTGTGCATCTATATATCTGGTCATTTACTTGCTAGCACACAGTCAGCCTGAAATATGATGACAAACAAATTGATGGGGGTGAGTGTTATCTGTGAAGCTGAAGCAAGACAGACAGTAAAGCAGCAGATGTTGCGAAATTCACTCCTGTTTCTGGGGATTCCTTGTCATGCTTTTGCAGATCCCTCAAGGGGCTGTGGGCTCTATGATGGGCTCCGGGTGTGGCAGAGCGAGGGGTTAGGTCAGCCCGATCAGGAGCCGTACCCTCGGGAAGCCCTCGAGCCTGTGGTATGAACTGCGCTGGTCAGGGCATCTTGTAAAGAGGCTGACCGAGAAGAGAAGAGATGCCCGCATCGCGAGAGACCGAGAAGGAAGGATGTGGTTGTCCTCGTCCCGAAGCAAGCCCGAACTCAAGCAGTAACATATACAGGATGGCGCCAATGACGGGCCTGCTTGAGAGAGTGCCTTGGACTGACCAGGGAAAGCACTCTCTTGCCCTAGGGGCTCAGCCTGCCCGGCTGGAGTCAACAGCTGGGATGGTGGGAGCTCTCTCCCTCTCTTCTTCCCAGATGTGCATGTGCCTCAAACATCTGTCCTTGCGCTGTGCAGTAAACGCTGTACTGGACAGCCCCTCATGTTCCTGTTCGGCGGGACAGCCCATGTGCTTTACAAAGGGTCCCCAATACGCAACCCAGCATTGACAGCACAGATCTTTCACTGAAAGATCACTGAAACCTAGTCGTGCTAGTCCAGTACACCTAGCTCTGGACAGCAGCGTCCTCCTCATTTCTAGTGTCCACTTCGGGAAGGAACCATTTTTTTTGGCTAAAGATCTCCACGTGGACAACATGGCAAACCCATGCAGCCCGACACAGCCTTTGTGTAAAAAAGCAAGTTAATTTAAAAACAGGCCATACCACACAGCCACTGTATGTGCTACGGTAATACCTCAGCCATCTGCTCTCGCAATAATTACATGAGCAGCAAAAACAAGTTGAATCTTTCTGCTGGCCAAGAACTCCTCCAGCCTGGCAGGACTCACCCAAGGCCTCGTGAAGTGGAGCTGTAATTGATTGAAGGTGGCTGAAATCGAGCAGTGTGGGAGAACTGCAAAAGGACTCGCCGCACGCTCCTCAGCCACATGGCAGCGCCGCTGATACAACACACGGAGGCATGGGTACACACTTGGGAGGACCTCCGCATGACAACGAGCGGCCTCGAGGAGATCACAGACCGGCCGCGACGCGCCCAACACAGAAATGCAGCAGACCGCAAGGCTGGCGGTGCTTGGCGCTGTGACCTGTGGTTTGTGAAGCCCATGCCTGCCACAAGCATCCACGCAGATCCTGCAGAAAACACTTCTGAACTCTTTGCAGAGAACGGCTGTGCCTAACCTTGAGGGCTGTTTCTTGGGAGGGTGGAGAGGGGGGGCGGGGCACTAATAATCATGTATCGGGGCCCCGAGTGGTTTTTTTTTCCCCCAGGAAGGCAAGACTGCCATGACAGCAGCCGTGCACGCCGGAGACTCACCGATGAGGGAGTTGAGGGAGGAGTAGGAGCTGACCCTCCTCATTTTGTCGATGGTCTCGAAGGACAGGATATATTCGTCGTTGTCGGGACTGCCCAGGGTGCTGCTGGCGCTGCTGCTGGTGCTCAGGTTCCCCGGTGAAAAGACAATGTGGCCCCCTACTGGCAGGAAGGAACATACACACCTTGGTCAAGAACACAAAAACCCAAGATTGCTCTTCCAACGAACATGCTGTGAGGCCAAGCCCTTTACGTCAAAATATGCCAGAAATTCTTAGTTTACCACAAAAAAAAATGCTTGCTTGCACGGAAAAAATTACACAAAGGAATAAAATGATTTTTTTGTGCACACACTCGTTTTACTTGCAAACAATGACGAAGGCCCCAAACAGCCCAGGATGACTGCAAAACGCAAAATCATCCCAACAAGAAACAATGCTACCAGTGGGACAACTAGACTGCTTGACAAAACCATGTCATTCAACCGAACCTGAAAGCCCTCTTAGAAGGTCACTTGTTTCTGCTCCTTTGGAATGTATTTTTCCACACTAAATGGCTGACTTTCCTGCGCTGCTCTGGGCTGAGAAGGAGATACGTGAATAAGCGATCTCCAGCGGGGGTCCTGCACCAGCAGTGCCTGGCTCAGACTGCACTGTGCTGCGGTATGAGGAACCCCAAGGCACAGCACAGCCTCTGACCGTTGCCCTGGGCACGCACACTGCTGGCTGTCCCAGCCCCAGGACCGGACCCTGGGTCTCACCGCCCCCGGTCCCCCGCTGGTCTCACCCTCCTCGTTCAGGTTGAGGTTCTGCAGGCTCTTGTTCAGGTTCCGGGCCGTGGTGGCTGCTCGGATGTTGCCGTAGGAACTGACGGTGCGAAGGCGAGGGATGGCCGGGCTGTCCCTCACCGGGGTCAGGTTCCCGGACTCTGCACGCGCAGGACAGAGGGGCAGGGAGAGGGAGAGACGCAAAGAGACACCTCGTCAGGGAGAGAGCCACCGCCGCCGAAGAGCAGGAGGCTGCCGCGTCTTCAGATTTGAGCTCTAGAGCTAGTAACTGTCTCCACGCATGAATGAACTTTACCAGACCAGCAAGCTCTTTTAAGGCTGGAAATGGGAAACCCTGGTCTATGGGGAGATAGCAGCATTTTCAAATGGGCAACTAGCTTAGACAGCAGACCTTATGCACAGAGAGAGAGAAGCCATCCATGATAAAATATATAAAAGCAGCCCTGGGCCTCTGCTCTTTTAAAAGCCGGCTGGTGGCAGGTTTTGTGTGGGCACCTGTGTTGCTGGCGGGCGAGGGGACAGCGTAGTTCTTCTCTTCCTCCATGAACTGTAGTGCCACAGTGCAGAAGTTGCTCTCGTACTGGACCACCAGGTGACTGAGCGCCACCACCAGCTCCTGTGGGTACACACAGTGTTGGCACGTCCATGGTTCCTCAGTCCCCTGTCTGACAGATCTACAAAGCTTTGTCTACAGCATGCTTGTCTGCTTTCTCCTTCCTACACTCGACTGAGAAAATGAAAGTTTCCTGCAGCTATAGATTGCATAAGGATTTCTGGCTGCACAGTTGCACAGCATCCCATATTTGACACAAGGCCACTTACTAATTCAAGAAGTTCAATAAATGTTTCGTGGTGAACTGTATTTACACATTCATGGCAACTTTTCCAACTTAACATTCACGAAGTCTAAAAAAAATAGCAGTTCTGCAACAGTAGGTCTACACATCACAAACGTACACCTGTTCTATAATTATTACACCTCTACTATGCTTAGCAGTTCAAAACGCAATCCAGCAAAAAAGTACAAGCTCCTTTACGCATCTGTTAATTACCCTTCTCTTTGACGTCCTTTACAAGCCTGCTTCTTCCCAGTGCCAGTGTAGCTAGCAGGCATTGGCAGACAGAGCGTCTTGGTAGCTTGCACCCACTCTCTGCATCTGTCTTTACAGCAGTGTACATGATCGCAGTGCGGTTCCCCAGCTGGATTCACTTTACAGAGGCCCCCTGTGGCACCACCGCACTGGCAGTGCCAATGTCCTGGATCGGGTATCACACACCCACCTTGCGCACAACGGGGCTGCCATCGTTGATGAGCTGCGCCAGCATCATGGCCACGTTGTGGTCGATGGTGGTGGAGTGGTCAGTTCGCTCCGCTGAGTTGCCCACAAAGGTGCCCAGAGCGAAGACCGCGGCACAGCGTACCTGCGAGGCATCACAATGTCACAATGAGAGCAGTCTTTAATAAAGGCACTGATTATACTTATACGCATTCATCAGGAAAAACCCTTAAATATGAGGACAATACATATAAACTAACGAAAGAACAATACATTACACAGCTGGTGCTACCGTGCAATTGCCATTTGGACTTTGCACTGCTCAGAGGGAGAGTGTATAACAAGGGCTCCTGATCCTGGCGCTGATGTCCCACACACCTGTTGGCTTTCATTCCATCCCACCTTAATTGGACAACTGAGGCCTTAATTGATCTAAGATGTTGCCTCATTGGAATATTTGCATTTTGTTTCTAGTTCAGAAGTTTGGGATTTTGTTTCTTTACAAAATGCAACGTTTAAAGCTCCAACAAGCTTAAGAGCTGGGAACAAACATTCACGTTCATCTTATTATTATTAAGTTCATGAAGAGTCTGATTGTGTAACCGAGGGCTCGGCTGGAGCAAAAACCGACAGGTGTGTGAGTCATCAGGCCTGGGCACCTCAGGTGTACTGCTCCCTGCTTCTTGGTCTTCATTATAAATCATTCATATTTGAAAGCAACTTTCATGATGCATCGTCTCAAAGCACTTTCACCGTCTCCCAAAGTTGTGGGATCTGAGTGAAGGCTAGAGGCCAACGAGCTCCAAAACCAAGCAGATGCACAACAGCTCACAGCTGCAGCCAGAAGTCAAAGGATTTGAGCCCTTATAGGCGATGATGCAGTGTTGTTAGCCACTAGCCCACACACAGACGTACCCCACACTCCTAATGATACACAAAAACTCCATTCAAAAATACCGCCCAATCAAAGAGGCAAATCATAACAAGAGGCAAATGAAGGCTTGAGCCTTCACAAGTGAAGCTTAACCCTGGAACACAAATAATCGCTTAAATAGGGGCTGTCACGAAAAAAATCATCCCTATGCCATAAACCTACCATACACCGATCTCAGATATTATAGAAACACGGACTGAATATAAAGAAACAAATCACAGGCATTCACTTCGCACCCTAGGGTAATTCAGAAAACGACAGCACAAACCATGATCGAAGCAGATCATGAACAAAGTCACGTGGATTTTGCTTTTTAGATTCAGAGCACTGGAAACGGAGAGAAAAGGCCACTGAGCAAATCACATATATATATTTGCTGCTTTCAGATGTTCACTGCTGCAAGATCATCAAGACCATCTGACACAGCCCACCTCACACAGCTGGTTGTCAGGTGGTCCTGCAAACCAGTATTGAGACGATCTTGCCCTAAAATCCCTTAAGGAGAAGACAGGTAACCGAACACCAAAGAAACGTTTCTTCCAGTGGTATTTTAGAAAAAGCTCTAATTTTATTTGAGCAACTCCCCCATCTCGTCACACAGGATGCAAGTTCACAGTGAATCTCCTGTGTCCTAATAGCAGATTGACCTGCACACCTAAGGTCAGCTTTCTAAAACAATTATTACAGCCCAGTACTCGCAAAGAACAAGAACAAATATTTTTATTTAAGCGAATTACCAAAATCCCTTGGTTTCCCTCTCTCTACTCCCTAATTATTTAGCTTTGTGGATCTGCAATCCATTTTTTTCTGCATCCCCTGAGCTGCAAACCACAGCCCTGGGCTCACATATTTGCGACTTAAAACGATTCCCATTCGTTAACACAACAGACTAGAAACAGGCACGTTTAAACAGCATTAATCCACACAGACCTCCAGACGGTGCACAGAGACAGAAAGGATATCAAGAAAGCAAAGTTAAACAGAGGAAAGTGTAGTTGTGAACAAAGACATGATGTCACCTAGAGCTGCAAATCAGCAGATTAAGAGAACTCCCAAGCACAGTTGTTGAGCCGCAGTCCGGCTCTGTTTCACATCACGCAAACGTTTCGCTTGTTTCGCTTGGGAAGCGAAGGGGCAGCAGAGTCCCCCTTCACTGGCTGATCAATGCACTTGAAGTACATATAAGGGCTCGCTTCCC